TTCTACTCCCCTTCTCCTGTGTTAACCATATGAATACTCTTGGTGGTGGTGGGTTAAGGTGGATACGGTGAGCCAACTGATCAAGACATCCCAGTAGTGCAGTTGCCACATAACTCCTACCAAATCTATGACCCTGAGGACCTTTATGATGGTGAGCAGCAGCCGTACGTAGTTCACGGGTCCTACCCCTTACCATCCCCATACTCCCAGTCCTCCTATCCATCACCGCATCTTGCTCAACCAGAGTTTACTCCTGTTCGGGAAGAGATGGAAGCCGTTGAACTGAGATCCCCAGGAATTAGTCGCTTCACAAGGAAGATAGCCAAAAGGAGCGTCAAGACTCCAGTACGCAAAAGGGTGAATGGAAATACACCCTCTCAATGAAGTAGTTAAACAAGGGAAACATTTTCTGTGCATCCGGCCTTCTGTTCAGGTGCCTCCCCTGCCGCACAAGGTGTTTACAGCCTTTTTTAATAAAGAAAGGAGGAAAGAATTGTACATGATCAGTTGACACAAGTAATGGTAATTATCTTGCATGCCAGAAACTTAGTATGTTAGTGGGTTGGTGCTAGATGATGATGAAAGGTCACTTGTTGACCCTGCTCTGGAGTACTGTTTCATACACTACTCAAACTGTATCTAAAAACACAAGTTGGTTTACATAGACCCATTCAGAATAGTTATTTGTTATCCACGTTTTTCCAGTTGATTATGTTCTGTTAGCTGTGGATGTATTGCTTTACTAGCAGAGTAACCTGACTACATTCACTGGCAAACAACGCATTATCAGGTTTTTTTGAACCCAGCTTATTACCCTTCCGCAAAGAAGTGTTATGCTAATGGACTTTTTTTAACCCACATTATATAAATACACCAGAATGTTCCTTGGGAGCACACTGATAATTTATTGTGAACCTCTTTCCTTTCTCTTTTGTATGCAAATAAAAGTGGCAAGCTTTTATACATTAAGGCTGTGTTTGCTTGATTTTTAACTTGGAACAACTGTATAGATCTTCAGGGGGCAGAATGCAAAGAAAACATATTCTCTTTTTTCAACACTTTTGAACAACAGTTTTTGTTTTAAAGAATAGAGGCACTTAGTATAAGCAGTATTTAGCCCCATTTTCAGAATTATATATAAACAAGTGTAAAGAGTAACTGTGAGGTGGTCGTACTGTCTATGTCCATGATATTTTGCATACTGACATGCCAGAGACAAAAGACCAGCAGGTAGAGTTGCAAAGGCAACATGGACCAGCTAATGAGAGGAAGGAAAAACCCCAACCCAACCACTCAAGCAGCACAAAGCAATTCGTCATGTTAAAACAAACAAGGTAAATTATGAAGTGACTCAATGAACAGCTCTAAACAGCATTGTAGAGACTGAGCATCAAAGTAGGATTTAAAGCTGAAGCTCAAAACTGTTCATTTAACTTGAAAGCATAGGTTTGGAACACCTTTAATCCAGCCCTCTAAGGTCATGGAAAGGCCTGTGGATCCAAGGGCTGTTTCTGGCTCAGCCCTGACTGGGCAGGCTCAGTTTCTGCTCAGCATGGAAAGACCTGTCCGCTCTTGCTTCTGGCTGCTGTCAGCAGTGCTCCCATCTCACCAGGAAGATGACAAACGAGTGCCTTTAACTGGCTCATCTCAGATTCTGTGGCCTAGAACTCAACCTCGGTGGTAACACAAACCACTTGCACGCATACTCAACATGCACAGCTTTGCCCATCCCAGGGCAACGTCTGGCAAGGTGCCTGTACACCTACCTCGCTGTGCTATGTTTCTGTTTTTCCGCTACTTCTCTCGCCCCCAACTACCACCACTTTCTTTGAGAAAGGTGAGAAAAGCTGATGAAACATGAGTTCAATGTCACTTGCATTTAAAGCAGAAGTTGGTAGAAGAGTACAACATAACTAATGGACTTTACACAGCTAAACCCCAGTTTACAGGATACTCAAGCACCACATGAGCACAGCTGTGTGCACATGTGTAGGTACCACAGCCTGGCACACGGAGCTGACATTCAGAGAGGTCTTACTGAAATTAAACACAGGTTATGGCTGCATCACATGATTAGTTTCTCTCCTTGCACTTGGCTGTGAAAATGTAACATACCCCAAGTGCAACCTCTCTCTGCCTCCTCCCTGGCCGGCATGCTCCACACCATGTTGTACCAAGACCTTATGGAGTCCCAGCTGAGATACCCCAAAACATAGCTCCTCTGGAAGTGACTCTTGAGAAGGTGACTGATGAAAAATCAGCATTGAAGCAATTCTGCCTGTGTTGTCTCAGAAGGATTTTAGGCCTCAAGTTACAGTTCATTATAGACTTGTACCCAAGACAGGTTGTCAAGCAACACTATACGCAAAGCTCAGGTTCCTTTGGGACCAGGAAGGGTGGTAGGGCAGAACCACAGATACATGGAAGACAGCACAGCACAGACAGATACAGTCAAACTCATGAAAATAAGGTAATCAATCAGAGTTATTTGCCCTGTTTTTGAAACGGACATTAACAGCCTGACCAAAGCTCTGAGTGCACCCGTGCTGCACAGCTGGGTGTCACCCACCCTTTGGCCCTCCCATGGTGCTTGCCCGGGCTGGGGGAGCAACGTGAAGTAGCTGCACCCTTGGGCACATGGGGAGTCTGGGTAGCCTGGCCTGCAGGGTCCTTGGCTATGGGACACGTGCACCATCAGCTCTCAGTGCAACCAGATTCTACCCCCCCCTCCATATGGGATGTACATGCAGTGAATTAAACAAAGGAAGAGATTACTTGGGGGTAATAAAGTAGGCACAGTTGTTAAAATTCTGTAACTTAATTTACAGACTAAAGCCCAAACTTTTACTGCATCAGCTAATTTGCTTTAACTTCAAAATGACATTTACTGGCACCCAGCTAACCAAAATGCTCCATGCATCATTTGTGCTATGTTTACTTCCTGGGTAAACCTTGGCAATAAAAAGTTACTGGTGGGCACCACCAAGTTATAAAAATATTAGTCAGGATTTGTATGTGTGCCAAAAAGACGCATATGGTCAACATTTCTCCAAAAGTCAGGCTCTGAATAAGCAGGCACGGCTTCTGTTTTTCCAGACAGCCTAAGAAACTGAAGTTGCTGACTGTGAAGTATTTAGCACAGGATGAACAGCTGATACCACCCAGATCTTCCCAGTAAGTGTATGTACTGTGTCTTTATACAAAAAAGAGCATTTATTTTAACCTCTTGCTTTTAAAAATACTTTTACTAGTTCACCAAATGTGGTTACAGACTTGGAAATGAAATCTGCGCGTTCACTGGACAGGAACATTTCCTGGGATAAGCCCATCTGAATGCCAAAGAAATGCCTGATAACAACCCATTAGTTCATATGATGAAATATGGTTATAAATAGACCAATGTTTTCCTTCCTATATAACGCTTGTATAAAACAGATACAGAAAACACTTGAGGGTTTTCTGGGCACAAAATAATGAACTTCAGGGAAATAATCTGCAGAAGCAAAATAATTTTAAACTTATTTTTGCATCATTCAACACTTACTCCAGTTTCCTCATTTGGTTTTCATAATAAATATGCTGCTGCTCAAGTAAGGAAGGCGTGTTCCTGTACCTTGAATCAAAATCAGATTTGGGCTTAAAGAGGGGAAAAGAAGGAAGAATATCTCCTTATGATCTGCCTTTACTGTCTGTTATTTCAGTGAGGTCTTTTAACAAACTCTGTGCTGGACTGTCAGAATCTACTCCTGGGGAGGAACAGCCACTTAAGAAAATTCCCTGTACAGCCCCAAATGGGTGGTTTAATTGGTAAACAGCACTGTAAATCCAAAGTGTGCCATCTGTAAAAGCTATGATGGGGTGCGGGTCCACTCACCTGCTTTCCATGGCAGACAATGTTACAGGTAGCAACTCTCCTGCTGACAACCACGTAATGTCTCCATATCAAGAATGAAACAGTAGTAGGATTATATTTCATACCATTCAGCAGCTATAAAGTAGGAAGAGTCAACCTTGCTTCTGTCATTCAGCATACTATTAACAAGAGTCTGAAAAGCTGTGAGATTAAAAAAAGTAGCTCTTGTTCCATTCATTACTTGCCTACATTCATAGGGCAGTTCCTGGAGTGTATCTTCCCTACTAACACAGTCTGCTGTTTGGATGCAGTCTAACAGGCAGTGTCTCCATTGAACTTCATGCTGTCCTTGCTGCTCTGCACTGTTCCAGTTCTGCTGGAACTGAAATGTCTCTTCCAGCAACCAAGAAACTCCAACACTGTAAAATTCTGCAGTCTTCCTCCCTGCAGCAAACAGTCCCTCTGTAGGCATAAACTGACTTCCTCTTGCTTTATTTTCAGCATCCCAAGTATACTATATGGTACTTATCAAAAGATAGCCAAAGCCTGAGGATGAAAAATTGCAGTTGGTGGCCAGTACAAGAAGCACAGGCTGAACTACAGGCAAAGCGTGTTGTGCAGAAAACCTCTTTCTAGAAGGCTGCTGAAGCCTGCAAGATAAACTTCTGTAGGACATAAAAAATGGCCATCCTATAAGTCACTGCCTCCTTATTCCTCCAAGATGTATCTTCTAGTAATAGTTTTCTTCCCTCTAGCACGACTACAGTATGAACACAGGTGTATTTGGTACTTGCCCTGCTTTGTCTGAAGAGCTGTTTTTCTAATGCCAATTGGCTCTGGAATAAATCTGATTTTGCTCACTACCACCCCAGTAAATTCCATGGGTACATTCACCTAAAAAGATAAGGACACTGCAGGCCTGCATAGACATGCATGTACCAACACCTCACCATGAATTTATCTGATGCATACGCTCTGCATTCTAGAAGAGGCTTCCAGAGAACCACATAATCTATTACAGAAGCAATAAACGGCTCAAGCCACTGGGGTTTTTTACATCCCACAAAGAGAGAATGAGTTCTACGTGAATAATTCCCTTTTTCTGAACTGAGACTGGTCTTCTGCTGTTCATCAAGCTGTATAAGGATGGAGTGATCACCTCTTTTACTAGAAAAGCAAATCAGATCATTTACCGACAGTATGCCGTTTATGGGAGCTCTGCAACCACAACTGCTCTTACTGCATGGAATTCAAGCTTTGCAATCTTTAGTGTGAGATACTTAACTTCAGTAAACAGTTTACTGTTCCTATGAGGTGCAATATTCATAAAAAACGTATCAATTCTTTCATAATACTATTAAATCCATTGTAATTAACAAATTCCCAATTACACACCAGAGTACAGCTGGCATTAACAACATCTATTCTTAACTGTTTCAAATACAGTAATTTTTATAATCTTTCCAAATAAAGTTTGCTAATCAGAAACATTCTGTACAGAAGGATTTACAGAGATGCACAGATGCTTCCATGGTAGAAGAACTGGTTTTCAAGGAGAAGAGACATTTCTGATGGTGCTTCTTCCACTGTTGTTACTTCCATCGAAAATCTTCAGGTCTGGAAAGAAAAAACAACAACAAAAAAAATGCTTTAAGAAATGTATTGGAACTGCAGGGACTTTGGTTTAAGGATGCAAGAACAGCCACATGTATTTTTATTTCCTTATCCTGGTACTTGAAGTTTTGTGCTAAAGAAGAATAACAGTATTTTTTGGATTGCACAAAAAAGACAGAACAAATCAGTTTGCTCAGACCTCTAGGAATTTACAGACATCAGGGCTAGTTGGTCAAGGTGTTTCTTACGAGCCACTCCTGCTTTCCTAAACAAACCACAAAGCATCTTTAACTGAACACAGTCTCACAAGGATTTTAAACACCAGTATTAATTTCTCTCTGCTTTTAATAAATGACTAACCTGTGCATAAAATGGCAAGTTTTAAGTTAAAAGCACAGTACACCACAACACTGCTGGAATAATTAAAACCAATGATTTCAACAAAAACCTACTTTGCATCTTAAAGTTTCTGCAATCCTTTCTGCTTGGATGGCAAATGTGAAAAACATGCAGACAACTGGCTGCTCTTTGTAATCCTTCACAGTCCCCTCTTCAATCACGTCACTCACTCTGCCTGACACACATCTACTAGTGCAGAAGCCACGTTCTCCCTGAAACCATGAGGTTCAGACTAGGTAAGAGTTTTAGAAGAATGCTAAGTTTGAAGGCTAGATGCAAGTCTACATCCCTAACAGGTCCTGGAGAGAAGTTAGGGCTCTGCCCAGCTGCTTAAAAAAACCCAAATAGTGCAGGGTGATGGCTTCTGACGTGCTTAGGATACAACCTGCATGTGCTCAGCATGAACAGGCTGCTCCTCATAGCATGCTGCACCCCTGACTCACGCTGCCTGCGACAACACAACCTGTTATCAGTACAGCAGACCTTCGTTCCTGACTCTTCTGACTGCTTCTCTTATACACAAACCAAAACAGGTCATGTGAACTGCCTCTCACTATTGAACTGAACAAGAGATGTAGTAACAAAGGTTTTGGAAACATGTGATGGGACACAGGGTCAGCAGATTTACTGTGAAGTGAAATGAAAACAGCCTGGAATACAGGAAAAGCTGCAATTCACAACAGCTAATAGCAAACCAAGCTAAATTTACAATGGTGGTAAATTTTATCATTAATTTTGTTCATAAATGCAAATTAAAAGCAGACAATGAAGTCATTCATGCAATTCTTGTACAAGCCTGTAGGTTCTCAATTGAAAGCAATTCAGTCTGTGCTATTTCAAGTGTACTGTATAAAATTTGATGATTATATGAAATTTAAATAACAACTATAAAGATGAGCGGGTGGTCCCACTGTAATGAATTGTAAAGCCTCTCTGTTTTCCATTTTAATTCTATATTAACGTTTGGATTTGTATCTTTTGTGCATGGAAGAATTGCTATAAGCAGTAATACCTGAGCAGTCTCAACATTTGATGGCTTATAGGCACTGGGAAGTCAAGTCATGTTTCCTAGAATCCTGGGTTTCAGTACTCGCACATATTCCATGTTTTGTTACTCAGATCTCACCCCTGCATACCAGAATATATACTTGTATCACATTGCCTGTGGTGTGTTAAGAGAGCTGGAGTTTAAAAAAATCTCAGCAGAGACTTAAAAGTTTTATCACCACATCCATCCTAGACAGGTGGACCTGTGCTGAAAGATTTTACAGATGCTGCATGGTGAAGACATCATTGTCTTGGAGCTTATAGTTATTACTCTTTTTTATAGGCCTATTTGGTGTCTTGCACATTGCTCAAAGGATTTTGCATTTCTATTTGAATGGCACATTTAAAACTTCAATCTTGGGTTAGGCTGGAGTGCTGCACAGTTAATACTTTGGGGTGAAAATCCAATTACTTTTTTGTTCTTGCTTGTAATCTGCATTTCAACCTTAATGCTCATTGCCTTAAAAGTTAAATGCATAAACCACTGGACTTTTAGTTTACAGTTTTACAAAGCTAATGAAGCTTAAAAGCAGGATTTTCTACACTAAAACACTTGTGTGAACAAATACAAAAGTTTTTAAAGCCTTTTCTACTGCCACAGTAGGCTTTTATGCTGACTAGTGCTTGCCTGTCGAGGCCACAGATTCTGCTTTTAGAGTCCTTGACACTAGGAAACCTAAGCCTTGAAAAACACTGCCTTTGGCAAAAGCGTTATAAATATTTTGTCAGACAAAGAATATGAACCCACGAAAAACCTTGTCTACTCAGAGAGAATTATGTTACTTGTGAACACCAATGGGCGTTCATTGATAAATGACATAAATCCATGCAAGAGTGTTCTTCAATGCAGCACTTTTGCCCTTCCCCAGCAAAGCACCAAGTTAATGCATTTGGAACAAAGGAAACAGTATCTTCTAGAAGAGATGGTTCAGAAATTCACCCAAAGGCAGGACTTCACATACCTGGTTCTTTTTTTTTTTTTAATTAAAGGTAACATTTGTGAGGAAAAAAAAAAAGCTGCATATTGACAGCAGGCTCCAAGACAAGGGGAAATAGGTGGCAGAAAGTGGGAAGTTGCATCTCTGAAATCTGCTGAAAGGCAAAATATAATGGGTTCACTGAAAATACTCAACTTTGCTCTGTGCAGCAGATGTCTGCCATTAAAATATGTAAAAAAAATGCATCCCACTAAAATTTTATCCTGCACATAAACTGCATTACGGCACAGTTCAATGAATACTAGGCAAAATACTCTGCAAATTAAATTAACATCCAGTTACACCATGCATCTCAGCGCTTCTCTCTCTTTAATACTTTAGCACTGAGGACCTCATATCTGAGGACTGGCCGAGAGAGCTGTGAATGTTCAGCCTGCAGAAGGAAAGGCTCAGGGGGATATCATCAAAGAAGTGAGGGTGCAGAGAAGATGGGGCCAGGTTCTTTTCAGTGGAGCCCAGTGAGAGGACCAGAGGCAATGGGCACAAACTGCAATGCAGGACATACCATCTGAATATCAGGAAACACTTGTTTCCCTTTGAGACTTTTACTGTGAAGGTGACCAAGCACTGGAGAAAGCTGCCCAGAAAGGCTGTGGAGTCTCCATCCTTACAGATAATCAAAAGCTGTCTGGAAACTATCCTGAACAAGTGGCTCTAAGAGGCCTTGCTTGAGCAGAGCAGTTGGACAAGATGACCTCCAGCCAACTGGTCTGCATCAGTAACAGCATAATGCCATTAGCATTGCTTTTCAGACAAAACTGTAGCTGCGTAGACACTGAAGACAGAATTCACAATGGCAAGCTTTAGTCTAAGGAGACTCCTCAAGTCATCCCTAAAGTCACTGAAGACAGACACGGCTTCCCCTGTGTATTTTAAATAAAGATCCATTTTATTTATACCAAATGAAGCTTAAACTACCTGCACTAAATTAATACTGAAGTTTAGTGACCATACTTGTGTTTCCCTAACAACCAACCACCGACTAACGTACACCACTTTTTGCAGCTGTATAAAACAAGGTTATCTTTAATCTAGGTCATTTCCCTGATGCTCTTTATTCTCTTGCTACAAAAGCAGAATGGAAAGGCAAGAAAAGTGATGGATGACACTTGAAAAGCAGCCTTTTTGCCAGAAGAAATGCTCATGAAGCTATGACCTCAGCCTCTGCGTATCTCAGATGGCAAACAGAAACTAACAGTACAAAAACACCTACTTAGATAGTTGCAACTACGATGGGACCCTTCCCCTCCCCAATATTCAGTATTCTTTTCCAATATGATGTGAAACGTGCTCTTCCTAGGGTATTTTTCCTGTCAAGTAGACAGAACAGAGAACCTTTCCAGAAGTTAAATGTTCAATTTTCAACTCCTGGAGTGAATATTTATTTCCATCAACTCTGAACAGACTTGCTGCACAGTTACATCTTTATTAAATTCTTGTCAGCACATTCCAACAAAGATGTTTCTCTTTCCCTAGCAATGTTTTGTGGAGGTAAAACAGCCTCAGAAAAAAAAATAAGGGGGCAAAGGGGGAGGTGTTACTCTGTGTAGGCCAAATCTAAGCATCACCAATCTGCATTACACTGCAATATCTTGATTAAAAAAAACATATAGGCCAACTTCACTGCCTTATTTCTCATGTGAGAGAACATCTTGTAATACAGCCCCTACAGCACGCAGATGAAAAACAGCATTACCTCAAAGAAATAAGGTTAAGGCTCTAGGGTAAACTTGACACTATTTTATAAGTAGAGAAGTTAATTTATAATCCTTTGCAGCATTTTGATTTTCAGACAATCCCTTAAAAATCCATAATTTGTTAATAAATCAGAATACTTCTTCAAAATGACATATTTTAATCCAAATTATTCTGGTTCTTTCAGAACTTCTAAATGCATTGGGACTAGCTATGATGTAATTTAGAATAGATGTTGCTCTTCCTTCTTCCAAAAGAAGTCACACACAATCCTAGTTTTTTCAAACACATGCTGCTGGTAGAATAGCATTTGATAACATGACCTCATCTTTCAAGCTCAAAAAACCTGGACAGTCATCTTTCCATAAAGACTTGTAATAGTTTTGTTATGTTGCATTGTTCAAGGCGCTTCAAAAGAAATTATACAAAGTCAAATTTTATGGAGTTACTACAGTCATTTGTATGCTCACAAGACTGTATTCATGACTGGTAACTAATGGTTTCAAAGCTGCCTCTGCTAAGGAATAATACCACCAATGCTGCAGAAGTGACCTGTCAATACCTGCTCTTGACTCAGCAATGCACACCTGGTTTGGAGGCTTTGAAGATCTCAAATGGCATTTTTCTCTTCACCTGCGGGCAATTATCTCACCATTGGAGAACATGACCCAGGGAGCCAGAGTTCCCTGTACCTTCTGCAATCTCACCACAATAACAATGAGTGCTCAGAAGGGACTGACTGCATCAGCACTGTAAAAGGTCAGTGCCTTAAGGCCAACTAACACTGCACACTAATAAACTGAGATGAAAGCACTGGTACAAGGGCAAAAGTTGAAAAGGATAGGCTTAGAATTCCGTGAAGAT